GGGGGCAAAGTGCTACTGCCCTGGTTCCTGCAGGTCCCCATGGCTGCCCAGGATGGATGAGGGAAGGGTCCTTCCTCCACCCACCCCAGCTTCCTCCCCAGTGCAGCCTCACATTTGGAGAGCACTGAGATGGCTTCAGGCCACCTCCACTCCCTTACCCACATGGTCCAACCTCACCCTGAAACTCCTTGTTCTTGACCTAAAACTAGCACTCCCTGGACACAAATTGCAGCCCTGGCCATTATTTATCACATCTTGAGAAAAAAAGCATCCCTCCCTACGTTTTCCTTTAACACTGAACCACAGCTGGACTCACAGTGATGTGCCTGGTACATTAAAAAGCAGAAGCATTAGAAGTGGGTGAGACCCCTGCATAGCTTGTTAGCTCTGGTGTGTCACCTGCCTTCTCCAGGGCTCTGGCTTTGGTATTTTCCCTGTAAGGAGCCACACGTACCCAAGGTGAATGATCACACCCATGTTTGTGTGGGTACATGCTGCTTCCAGAACCTCAGCATCACCTAGATTTGACATGAGGGACTTACTCCCCTAACTTAAGCACTGCAGCTCCCTTGTAGTTCTTAATGAAAGGAAGGTCTAGCCTTGAAACATTAGACAAAATTTCCACCTATGGGTAAGCAGATATGTTTGTTGGTTTGTTTTTTTGTTTTGTTTTGTTTTTAATTTTTAAGCAATCTCAATTAGCCATTTACTCACTGTTATTTTTAGAGCATGAGAGGGGAACCCTGTGTTTTTGTAAAATCCTTAGATGCATGTTCAGGTGATGGGATCTTGTGTGGAACATGACACAGTTAACTTGCCTCCACATTGTGGCCGATGGCATCCAGGAATGACTCTGCTCCCTCTCACTTACCCCATAGGTTCACCCCATGCTCAGGGTCTGCCAAAATTGTGTCATTTTCTTGTTCTCTGTCCCCTTAAAAACAATAAAACTGATAAGACCTATGGAAATAGCTAGTAATGAAAGAAAAGTGCACCAGAAGTAACACAAAATGATCTTGCCCTCAGCCTCAGCTTTCACACCCAGTTAGTCTCCAGCTCTCCCAGAAACCAGTGTCTTTCTCCATGCAAAAGTGCCAGGTGCCCCTCCACACCCCTACCCTGCTTCCTGCAGCTCAGCCCCAGGCTCAGCTCCCTTCCTGCAGCAGCTCACCCATTTTCACCCTCCCTTTTTCCCCCAGTTCTTTCAAACCCTGTAGCATCCTTCCTGGGTCTCAAAACACCCAAGAGGTGAGGCAGACTCCTGGGAAAGAACACTTCTTGCCTCCAGGCTTTCTCAGGAAGCAGCATTCCATCGAAATGATAGCAGCACAGCACCATGGCCAGTCTGTGCCACCTGCCTGTGGGTGATGCTGCCACCTGGGTCTGCCAGAGATCTAGGCAACATTCAGCATCTGATTGGTGCCCGGACCATCCATGAGGGCCCTAGGGAGGAAATCTGGGAAAGCTTTGGAACACGGAGGCCTTATGGCTAAGCTCAGCCCCAGCGGTGCCAGCGGCACTGCACCAAGACTGAATTTGACCCAGGGGGGTTGTGGTTACTAAGGATTGTATTGCTAGCTTGCACTAGTGCTACTTCATTAGTGTTTGGGAAAGATCACAGTAATGAGACTGTCATTGATGTCTTTATTCCTTGCAAAGTTAGGCTGAGTCTTGAAGTATGTTGAGATTCATAGTACCATTCAGCATGGCCTCAAAATGAAACAGATTGCTTACCTGGGAAAAAGAGAATGTCTTGGCTTGGAAAAGATTTATACATCTGGGGGGAAAGGGTAAACATTTGGGTTAGACATGCTGACAAATGAAAGGAAAAGCTTGCCTTTTTGCTCTCCATTTCACAATTCCAGGAAGAATGGATGCCTCAAGGAGCTGACTGAGAAATAAGAAGAGAAAAAAAAGGACAGAGAATACAGGCATGGGAGATAATGAACCCTTGGAATTCACTGCTGCAGGACAGATAATCAAAATCTCATGATAAAGTTTTCTAGAAGAGTTAGAAGCAAAATACATTTTATGACCACTACAGTCTTTTGGCTAAGATAAAGGTAACCAGATCCCAGGCATCAAGATATAAAATGATGTGTTAGAGGTATCAGTAGGAAATTACTTCCCCTATGTGCTGCATTGCTCCACTGCCTGAGGCTCCTCTGTTTTTGTTTCCATTTGCCAAAGGAGCAGAGGAATGGCTATTGCTGTAGGCAGCATCCCAGCCCTGCGGCTGGGAAGGGAATATCTTGTTCTGCTCAGTTCCCAGAGCATCTCCCAACTCTTCTGGGTGCTTCACAGGGAGGGGACCTGAGTCTCCCAAGAACTGGTGGAGCCTGGCATGTGGAAACCATGAGCTGCCCATGGAGTTGAGAAGCTATGGCTGGAGTTTATTTAGGGTGGGTTCAGTTCCAACAAGGGAAGCAGATCCAGAGGGTGCTACATACATGCTATATAATCTGGCATGCTTCTTTATGGGACCGTAAAACTTCCCTGGCTGGCACTTCCATTTAGCATGCAGCAGAAAGCATGTCCCTTGGGAAAAAAAAGGTTAAAATGGGATATATTTTTTAAGGGCCATGATGGCATTATTTTGCTAGGATTTTATATATGCTAATAGCAAGGAAAGAGCTGGTTTTAAAGCTGGACTTACCTACTGCAGTTAAGTCCTCTTAGAATATGAAAGGATGGTTGGAAGAAAAACAATAATAGTTCTCAAATCCAGATGAGTTTTACAGAGTAATTTTCTTCTAGAAACTTGACTTCCTTCAGGGATTGATTTCACCTTTTATGTGACTGCATTCTGATAGCTTTGTTTCCAGCTTCCCCACATTTTGACTGCTGTTGGCAAGAAGGAGAAAACTGTTTCTTACTAAAACTTTTATTAGGCAGTTATTAGTATTTCCTTCTTTGGTATTGAATGGCTTTTCTGTGCAGTGATTTTAATGTACTGCTGCTGGAGGGACAGTGGGCTTAAAGCATCAGCTTGTTTGTGGAAACGTAGGGGATTGCTCTGACAAAATCATAGAGGTGATGACCCCACTGTGGAAATCTCCTGTTCAGGTTTTGTCTGTACCTGGACCTGAAAATGCAACTTGAACTAAGATAACACCAAGCCTGTCCTCAACAGCAGCAGTTTGCCCCACTTAAGGAGCTACTTTTTCAGGTCTTAGCTGAAAATGGATGTAATTGTATTCTCCTGTCAGATTTAGGAAATACCCATGGATGATCCTTCTGTGCTGAGGGTCAAATCACCTTCATTTATGCACTGATGCTTGTTTTTAATCACTGTGCAAACTAAACCCAGCTTATGCATGAAAGTGCTTCTCCTGTTGGCAGTTGTACATTTAAGCAGTGGGTCCACACTTCTGCATCTCACATCACCTTTAATCAGGGGGGTTAATTGCAGACCTCTCTGCACACCTCTATTGATGTGGCCTGGAAAATCACAGCTAACCCATGATAACTCCCTCTGCAAGCAGATAATGGTCCAGCTGCAGTGTGAAGGTGGAGTAACCTATTAAATCAGTAACACTGGTAGAAATGAAAGGGAACTCGGGCTCTTTCCATGTGAGAAGGACACAGTTTAGACTTCAAGAAGTAGCTCCAAGAGGCAGCACTGAAATGAAGGAGTGACCTGGTGATATGTTAGAGAAAACTAGAATAGAGTTCCTGTGGTCCTGCCACCCTCCCTCCCCAAATATGTGCTTCCCCCTGCTCTCTCACCCACATGATAAAGAAGTTAGTTCGGGAAACTCTGACAGCAAAAAACCTTTTCTCACTGGCAGAGTTAATTCTCTACAGTTTGACATCTCTGGGGATGGGAACAGGCAGGCAGGGATGGAGCTGGTGTGGGAGACTGGCACTTCAACTTTGGGCAGCTTAAACCCTTACAGTGTTGCAGGCTCACAGTTCCTGGCTCCCGGCACAGCATCAGATGCCTGAAAATGGGCTTCAGGAAAGCCAGCTCAGTGGGCAGAACCTGGCTGCTCTAACCCATAGGAAACCCTGAGGAAGGGACTGTCCTGACCTTGCTGCTCCTCAGAACGCAACCTCCTTTCCCAGGGCTGTGGGGAGGTACTGCTTTCCAACTGCTCTTTAGTTCCCTGACCCTTCTTTAAGATTTATGTATCTGCAGCTTTTCATGCAAAAGAAAAAAAAAAAAAAAAAAAAAAAAAAAAAGAAACAGAAAAAAAAAAAAGGGGAAAAAAAAAGGAAGGAAAGACTTATCCTTTCTCTGTAAAATGGCTGTGCAAGGATGCAATGCCTTAACACATCCCAGATCTCTGAACCAGGCAATCAGGGGCAGAGGGGAATCAGTGTTTTCAGGTCCCCTCTCAGTCTGAAGGGACTTAAAGGAGCATTTGGGAGAATACAAAGTCTTTGCTTGAAACCCGTCAGCTTCACATGTTCTAATATATTTCACCAGACCGGCGGTTGAAAGAAAGACAGAGAGAGCAAACGTGCGAGTGTGAGTCCAGCTCCCCAGCTAAGCGGCTGGAGTGCTGTTCCCAGAGCTGCCAGACACAGGGTGTGATCCACTCTCCCCTATGAAACTGCCCAGTGGGACCTGTTCTGCTATAACACACGGACAGTTCTCGGGACTGCTCACACGCAGAAAGCCCCACGGAGGTTTCAGACAACTACAGTACAGGCATTTCAGAGGGGTTTTGCCTCTGATTAATCTTGGCGTGCTCTGTAGATTCAGCTCCCATCGAGGATTCCTGCTTGTGCACTGCGAGACCTCTCCACGTTGCAAACCTGCAAGTAGTAAGGATGAGGCTGTTCCCTGCAGGAGCACCCTCTGACCCAAACTCACACACCAGTGCAAACACACCCACAGGGAAATGGAAGCCCCTGTCCTACCGCTTGGAAACCCAGATCCTGCCTTTTTGCAGGCGCCTTCCACTTAGGCTCAGCAAATGACATAACATGAGTCGTTGCTCACAGACACGGGTATTCGATTAAATTACTCGCAAAACAATAGAAAGGAAAGGTCAAGGAGCTGACCATCTCGCTCTCTTAATTCTCTTGCGGTTCTGGGCAGTCCCTGCCTGCAGCGTTTGCGCCTTAGTTAAGCATGTCAGATAAACAAGCTGTTGATCAGCTGAGAGGAGAAGCCCCATCAGCCCTGTGCCCTTCCCCGGCCCCGGGTCCCCCGGGTGTGGCCGCTCTCGGCCTGTGACCGGTTGCGGGAAACCCCGAGGGCCGGGCGGGCACTCGACGGCTCCCGGCCAGCACCAGCTCGGTGGGGCTGGGCTGCTACTTCTCTGCCCTCGGGCCCCGGAATTTGCTTGCTCCCCGCTGTCCGGGGGGCGGGGGGGTCCGCGCCCGGCCCCGTCCCACTCGGCAGGTGGCGACAGAGAACGGGCTTTGGCGACGGGAGCGGCGTGCGGGGCTGGGGGGGCCCGGGGGGGGGCGCAAGGGAAAGGAAGGGAAAGGAAGGGAAAGGAAGGGAAAGGAAGGGAAAGGAAGGGAAAGGAAGGGAAAGGAAGGGAAAGGAAGGGAAAGGAAGGGAAAGGAAGGGAAAGGAAGGGAAAGGAAGGGAAAGGAAGGGAAAGGAAGGGAAAGGAAGGGAAAGGAAGGGAAAGGAAGGGAAAGGAAGGGAAAGGAAGGGAAAGGAAGGGAAAGGAAGGGAAAGGAAGGGAAAGGAAGGGAAAGGAAGGGAAAGGAAGGGAAAGGAAGGGAAAGGAAGGGAAAGGAAGGGAAAGGAAGGGAAAGGAAGGGAAAGGAAGGGAAAGGAAGGGAAAGGAAGGGAAAGGAAGGGAAAGGAAGGGAAAGGAAGGGAAAGGAAGGGAAAGGAAGGGAAAGGAAGGGAAAGGAAGGGAAAGGAAGGGAAAGGAAGGGAAAGGAAGGGAAAGGAAGGGAAAGGAAGGGAAAGGAAGGGAAAGGAAGGGAAAGGAAGGGAAAGGAAGGGAAAGGAAGGGAAAGGAAGGGAAAGGAAGGGAAAGGAAGGGAAAGGAAGGGAAAGGAAGGGAAAGGAAGGGAAAGGAAGGGAAAGGAAGGGAAAGGAAAGGAAAGGAAAGGAAAGGAAAGGAAAGGAAAGGAAAGGAAAGGAAAGGAAAGGAAAGGAAAGGAAAGGAAAGGAAAGGAAAGGAAAGGAAAGGAAAGGAAAGGAAAGGAAAGGAAAGGAAAGGAAAGGAAAGGAAAGGAAAGGAAAGGAAAGGAAAGGAAAGGAAAGGAAAGGAAAGGAAAGGAAAGGAAAGGAAAGGAAAGGAAAGGAAAGGAAAGGAAAGGAAAGGAAAGGAAAGGAAAGGAAAGGAAAGGAAAGGAAAGGAAAGGAAAGGAAAGGAAAGGAAAGGAAAGGAAAGGAAAGGAAAGGAAAGGAAAGAAGGAAAGGAAAGGAAAGGGAAGGAAAAGGGAAGGGAAGGGAAGGGAAGGAAAGGAAAGGAAAGGAAAGGAAAGGAAAGGAAAGGAAAGGAAGGGAAAGGGAAGGGAAGGGAAGGGAAAAGGAAAGAAAAAAAAAAGGCAAAAAAAAGGCCTTCGAAACTCCATTCCAAAAACAAAAAAAAGGCATCATTCCTGCCTGCACAGTTCATTCGCCTCCTTCTCGAGTCCCTCGGAAAGCAAGATTAAAGGGGAAAGTCGCAGCTGTATATTTATGTTTTCATTGCTAGAAGGGAATTGATTTCCTTGCATTTATTTTTGTAGTTGCAATACACAAGGGCGGATTTGCGTCACCAAAGCAACTTGCTGGTCGAGATAAAGTTGCACAAATATTGAAAAGGGAAGTGCTCGCGCTCATTATGAAGTTTTTCTCCGGAAGAAATAAGGATTTCTGCTGTATCCTAAAATACTAAAGCCGCTTCTATTTTGGGACAAATCTCGCAGGCACATCCGCTCATTTAGTCCGAGTTGGAACCTCTCAAAAAAAACAGGAGATGACCTGGACTGCAGCGAGCCCCGGGTTTCCTGCAGCATTCTCCCTCCTTGCGCGGGAAGGAGGGGCTGCCCCTTCCCCCGCCTAGCGCGGCCGCGCAGCCCTGCGCGGAGGGAGGTTCCCGGGCAGGGAGGCCTGCGGAGGCCTTTCAGGAGAGGGGACAACTGTGTCCCCCGGGGGAAGGAGCGACCTAGGGGCTGGGG